AGACTATATGTGGGTTCACTTAGCTCTTCTTTGACTTGTCCCTTGAAATTGACAAAATTTGACAAAGTCCTCCTTTTTGACTTTTTTAGGACTTTTTTTAAGTTTATGGTATGTCATTAAAATAGCTTCACTACTACTATTCAAACGTTTTGAAGAAATTAATTATTTTATTCGCCAAGGATCCATTAAATTGATCAAAAGTAAAGAAAAGTATCCTGGGGAAATATGTATCTCAGTTTCCACATAAATATTAAGCAGCACAACATTGATAATTCTTTAGCTCCAAAGCAGCATATTTGAATGTTTTCTGAAGGATCATGCAACACTGATGACTTGAGTAATGATGCTGAAAATTCAGCTTTTCCATCACAGGAATAAAGTTAATTTAAACATTTATTAAAATAGAAAAGTTATTTAAATTGCAATCATATTTAACAATATTATTGTAATAACTGTATTTTTGTAATTACAAAATTTATTACAAAATACTTTATAGTGAGCATTTAGTGAGACATCAAAAAAATGAACAAATCAAACTTTAAAACTGTGGTCTAGGTAAGTGTGTGTGTGTGTGTGTGTGCTTGTTTTTCTATCCCAATGGGACTTCAACCTGAATGCACACTGACTCATGGGACTCGTGTCACCATGGGGACCTAAATTGATGAAACAAGCTTATAAATCATACAGAATGAGTTTTAAAATGTAAAAATGCAGAAAGTTTTCTGTGATGGGTAGATTAAGGGGTAGGTTTAGTGTAAGGGGATAGAATAAACGGTTTGTACAGTATAAAAACCATTACTTCTAGGGAGAGTCCCCACAAAGATAGCGAACCAGACGCACACGCGTGTGTGTGTGTGTGTGTGTGAGTATGTTTGTGTGTACGGTATTTGCGTGGCAGTAGGGCAGTGTCATGCTGTAAGTTGAAGCTCTGAAAGATGTTGCTCTTCAGAAAACTCTGTGGAATGTGTGAGCTCCCATGTTGCATCATGACTAAAGGTTTGGTCTGATCACCTGCAGACTGATGTTTTTCAACTCACTTTCTATCTTACTCATCAATCTTAAGGTGTCACTTTCACTCTCAATCGTTTGTAGCATTGTCACGAAATCAGGTGCCTTGTTCTTGTGTTCACATGTGCATATTTTAATGTGCGCGACTAAAATGCAAGGTGCAGTGCTTAAAATATTGTGAGTTTGTTGGAGATAGTAGCAGGTATTCTCTGTCTGTCCATCTGTCTTGCTCTCTCTCACCTCATTCTGCGTCTGCGTATCCCCATTGCGACGAGTGAGCGATGAAGTCGACTGCATATGCAGCACTGCTGATGAATTATTGAACAGTGGAAAGTGGACGTGATGGAGTCTTGCACGCAGTGCATACAGAGGAGCCACTGTGTGAAAGGATGACTGATGTCAAGAAAAGAGAGCGAGTGGTTACAGGCTCCTTTATGTCAATGCTCATGCTGCATTTGCTCACTGTCAAAAACATTTGCAAATGTACTTTGGATGCACTTTTGTTGTAGAAGTACATTGCAAATAATCCTATTCTTTTTACAGCTTTTTTGGAATAGATCACTGGAAAATGTCCATATACCTGACAGTTATCACTGAAATAGATGTCTTGTGATATCACATGTCTCTGTGACATCCAAAGAATCTGACCACAGCCTGCACAAGCCAATCTGAAAACTTGTCAGTTTAGGGCGGGAATCCCTGTTTTCAGATAAGTGAGTATTTAGGAACAGTTTTTGTAAAAGGCATTCTTTTTTACAATTCTACAATATTTCCGAATTGTACTGCAGCTTCAAAGCAAATGCATGTACCTAAAAAGCTAAATCACATAAGACAAGACTTGTTTTCATAGAATGTATCTTGAATATTGAGTGTAAATTGTAATGTGTAAATTGGCAGCTTTTTTCCCTGCAAAGTCCTTAATAAATTTGTTGAAAAAATCAGCCAGCTGAACACAAGACTTAAGCCCTATTTGGAAACTAGTTTTCTTTTGTTACATTTCTTATCACTCAACGTCTGTGATTTCATGTACCAATTTGGATGGAACCAACATCTCCATGTTTATTACAGAGGTAGGAGTGTGTTTTCTAGACGTGGGCGTTACAGAAGGTCATGTGCGTCACGTATATGTTTATTAGTGGTTGATATGATTTTAATTTATTATAATAAAAAAAAACATTTAAGTAAACTTCATGGGTTTTTAGCAGTGGCTGTTTATAATAAACTTGCATAAGTGAGCAGATAAATCTAGACAAGTATATTACTCTTACTTGACACTGGTATTAAAATTGGCAGTCTTCACAGTTTACGCAATTTTTTTCATCGGATACCATCTTGAAACTACATCAAGGCAAGGCAAGGCAAGTTTATTTATATAGCACATTTCATACACAATGGTGATTCAAAGTGCTTTACATAGAAGAAATTAAAATAATGAAAAGAAATAAGAATAATTAAAACAGTTTAGAATAAAAAATAAAATAAAGTACAGTAAAAACAGTCGGACGAACAGTGGCACAGTGCTCATTCAGTAAATGCACAGCTAAACAGATGTGTTTTGAGTCTGGATTTGAATGTGACTACTGTAGGAGCACATCTGATCTCCTCTGGAAGCTGGTTCCAGCTGCGGCTGGCATAATAGCTAAAAGCAGACTCTCCATGCTTAGAGTGAACCCTTGGTATTTCTAGCTGATGTGATCCTAATGATCTGAGTGATCTGTTACGTTTATATTCAGTGAGCATATCTGTAATATATTGAGGTCCTAGCCCATTGAATGATTTATATACCAGTAATAATACTTTAAAGTCAATCCTAAATGTAACTGGGAGCCAGTGTAAAGACCTGAGGACTGGTGTGATGTGTTCATATTTTCTTGTCCTGCTCAGAATCCTGGTAGCAGCGTTCTGTATGAGCTGCAACTGTCTTATGGTCTTTTTAGGAAGGCCAGTGAGGAGTCCATTACAAAAATCCACTCTGCAAGTGATAAAAGCATGCACAAGTTTCTCTAAGTCTTGATTGGAAACAAAGCATCTAATTCTTGCAATATTTTTCAGATGATAGTATGCTGATTTAGTAATTGCTTTGACATGACTACTGAGACTAAGGTCTGACTCTAGAGACACACCAAGATTCCTGACTTGATTTTTAGTTGTTAGACCCCTAGCGTCAAGGTATGGATTCACCTTGAGAACTTCATCTCAAGGTGCATGCCATGCCACCATGAAAGCATGCCAAAGATTGGTGCGCAAACGGTAGCTTAGGTATAGGTCAAAAAACACATGGGGAGAAGCGTTGGGTTAATACAACATCAGCAATCACAGATATTCACTTTCGGACGGGATTAGATTTCTCAGAGGACCGTTGAGTTTGCCGAAAAACAATACATAATTTCCCCTGGACTTTTTACTGAAGTTGTGTGAGAAAAAAACAGACATGTCAGATTCGGACGGGATTAAACATGAATTTCTCTAATGTCCCCCTAAAAACTAGTCCTGTCTAAATGTTTGGGGTCAGTAAATTAATTAATTTTTTTTTTTTTTAGAAATTAATTATTTTATTTAGCAAGGATGTATACCACCAGTGAAAGTAAACTGATTAAAAGTGACAGAAAATAAATTTATATTGTTACATTAGGCTTTTATTTAAAATAAATGCTGTTCTTTTTAACTTTCTATTCATCAAAGTATCTTTAAAAAAAAGAGAAAAAGTTTAAGTAGAACAACTGTTTTCAACATTGCTAATAAAAAAAGTTTCTTTGGCTACTGAAAATTCAGCTTTGCCATCACAGTAATAAATTACATTTTAAAATATATTAAAATAGAAAACTAAATTAAAATTGCAATAATAATATTTTACAATAGTACTGTTTTTACTGTATTTTTGATCAAATAAATGCAGCCTTGGTGAGTATAAGAGACTTTCTTACTGACCCCACACTATAAAACCATCCTCAGTGAATGGTTGAAGCGGAAAGGAGAACAAAACTCTACTCTCATTTTTGGAGTGCTTCTCGTTTCGCTGCTAAAAACAGATTACTCGACTAGCGGTTACAGGAACATCAATAGTCAAACTTAAAATAGGAAGCTACTGCTTTGGCATTGTTGTGTGTGAGCATGAGCATGTGTTCAGTTGACACAAAGACAAGCCTGAACATAACGTTCAGCTGTCGTCACTTAAACAGCCTCCTGGGAGGGGAGGCACAGAAAATATGTGAAAAATGTGAAAAATGCCTCCTTACAACTCCCCCTTTTATTACAAACTGATACCGTTTTCAGATTAGCATGGAAACAGCCTGTGGAAACAAAAAAAGTTTGCAGTTAATTAACCGTAATTATCAACCCCAAACGGAGGGCCACACAAATAATGTTGACATGAAGTCTGTGTTTGCACTGTACACACAAGGGCGGATGTCTTTTTTTATTTTTCAGAAGAGACAGAACAGTTTGTCTGTTGGGTTGTGTTATGAGTATAAGCCCTCATTTAGCATAGCTTTCAAAACAAGTGCTCTTTTATGCATGTAGATCCCTGAATCAAAGCTGAAGTCAATGATGTTTGTGTATGAAAGTTCCTCAAAAGGGAAACTGGTTTCAGACAAGCTTCCAAGGCACAATAACATCATGTCTAATGATCTAAATGAATTCAAGTGAGCTTTAGATATAAACAAGGACTTTTTTGATGACTACAAAGCTTATTTCTTGGTAGAAATTGAGCCATAAAGAAAATACATTTCTAAATAAAATTCTTTCAACTGTTTTTTATTCATTTCACTATCCGCCAAACGGCATGCATAGGATTGTGGGATATTATATGCTGTGAAGGGACATCTATACTATCAAAATCCCACTAGATTAAAGTATTTTTGGAGACAGGATGCGACACAAACATTGAATTTGGACGCGTCTTGATGCCTTCCTAGCTCCTCATACTGCACTTTTTGAATCTGATGTGATATTAACCTTTCTTGTGTTTATATTCTCTCTCCTTTTGTGTTTAGTCATACTTTGTCACTGACTATGACCCCACGATTGAAGACTCCTACACAAAGCAGTGTGTGATTGACGATAGGCCTGCTCGGCTGGACAGTAAGTATGCCACAGATGGATGAGAGAGACTGATTGTCAAACAAATCACACCGGATGTAGGGAAACAACATATTGCTAACCGGCAGCAAAGATGAAGCACCTTATGATGTGATAATACATAATAGAGATCAGATATATTACAGAGAAACTGGTGCATTTTGTTATTGTTCTGTGCATTATGCATACTTGTAAAATTAAGTTATAATTGTCTGGTCTTGTTTGTACTCGGACTGGACGATGGTAAAATATTTTCATAAAAAATATCACAATATCCGATTGCATAGTCTAAAAAAACGTAAGGTGAGGAGTGGGGACTTGGTTTTATCCATCGGTTGTTGATTGGATTTTTAGATGTGAGTGTTACACTTAAAAACGGAGGCAGATGAATGTGAGCATATAGGGATGGGGTTTAAAGGGTTAGTTCACTCAAAAATAAAAATGATGTCATTAATTTCTCACCCTCATGTTGTTCCAAACCCGTAAGACTTTCGCTCATCTTCGGAACACAAATGAAGATCTTTTTGATGAAATCTGAGAGCTTTCTGTACTCTCCATTGACAGCTACACAACTACCACTTTGACGCTATAAAAAGTTCATAAAGAGATTGTAAAACTAATCCATATGAATTGAGTGGTTCAGTTCAAAAAAATTTGAAGAGACACAATTGCTTTATATGATGATCAGATATAATTTAGGCCTTTATTCCATATAAACATTTATCAACTCACACATCAGTTATGGTAAACTGAAGCTCAAGCACATTTCGCTTGACGTGAGAGAACCAATAAGGTTCATTCTCGTGTGTTACGCAGACCGTTGAGCTTCCTCAAAAACCAGTGAGGTTCATTCTTGTGTTACGCAGACCGTTGAGCTTCCTCAAAAACCAGTGAGGTTCATTCTTGTGTTACGCAGCACATTTGAGCTTCTGCAAGAACCAATGAGGATCATTCTCAAGAGATTTGTTCTCCTGCGTCAAGCAAGTTCAGTTGAGCTTCTGTTTATGTTCGCTGATCAATGTTTATATGTGAATAAATTCAATCTGTTCGTCATATAAAACGATCAAGGCTCTTAATGTGATCCGATCATGAAAACAAACGAGGCCTTTGATTACTGGCATCACTCAAGGCTGTTGTAAGTTAAAAGAAGGGGGCTGACTTTTGTTACATTCATACATAAATTATTCAGTCTGCTGTTTTAGAGTCACACCTGTTAGTAAATACACTTGTCAATCCTAAACACTGCGTGAACATTGCCATATATACATGACACAGAACCATGTTAAGCCATAGATAAAGAAAAATGAATATAATAGAAGATCATTTACATAATGAAAACACTTGTAATCAAACCTATATCGGTGATGTGGCTAAAGTGAGTCTGTGGGTGACTAACATGGATGTTCTGTGTTTGTTAGTCCTGGATACAGCAGGGCAGGAAGAGTTTGGAGCCATGAGAGAACAATACATGAGGACAGGGGAGGGCTTCCTTCTCGTCTTCTCTGTCACTGACCGAGGAAGGTGAGCAATGTTCTACTCATGTTTTCTCTCAACTTTCTCTCTTTCTTCCCCTTTCCCCTACATTGTCTGTCTCAGTTTCACTTTCATTCTGTTTTTGTCTTTCCATTTTTATTAATGCCCCCCCCCCCCCCCCCCCCCCCTCCCTTCACTCATTCACATTTTCTGTAACTGTAAAATTAGAGGCTTGCTAATTTATTGCCCCAGGTTTTGTCTGAGTGAAACCCAGCACATGCATATAAACCGATCTCACACACATTGCAGTGTTTATGCTTGAGGAATTTAAGTTGTTTTGATTGATACTGTGAAGCAGCTTTGATACAATCTGTATTGTGAAAAGCGCTATATAAATATATTTTACTTGACTTGACTTGAATTTGGTGTGTGATCAGCCGTTTTGGGAGTGTTTGTGCCCTCTTAGGGTCCTTCCCACTTTGTGTTTATGCTGTAAACAGTCTTTCCTTCCTTCGTTGACATTACCCTGCTCAGAGCCGATGGCACCGGCTTCTCTGAACACACAATCTCGCAGTCTCTCCAGAGCCCATGACAAGCACTTCCTCCTCCTGCATGACATTTAAACTGCTCGAACTGTTAGAATCAACAGAGACCTCATATCAATGTCCTTCCTCCCCAGCACACACACACTGTTCTCCATATGATGGCTTCTAGCCGTTTTACAGCGTTACTGGAAAGTTTATTGGAAAGGCATGAGAACCGAGTGACCTTGTGTCATCCTGTGTACTGTAATGCAGTTCTGTGGCCCAACACAGAGAGATAGCTGCTCATCAGCTGGAAGGGTGGGCTTGCATTACTTTTAGGAAGAGCTCCGCTTTGTGGGTGTATGTGTCTGTACTTTCATTTCATTATTTCTGAAAATGCCCTTACTAGGGATGCATGATATGGTACCACTGGGGTTATCGGCCAATATGAAGACTATTTTTTTATTTTATTATTAGTTCCCCTCAAGTTGACACCAGGTGTCTCAGCAAAATAACCACTTTTCCACAAAGTTAAAGAATGAGAAAGTGTCCCAAAACTTTTTGTCTCTACTTTGAACAATATATTTATTGATTCATATATATATATATATATATATATATATATATATATATATATATATATATACACTCACCGGCCACTTTATTAGGTACCCCATGCTAGTAACGGGTTGGACCCCCTTTTGCCTTCAGAACTGCCTCAATTCTTCGTGGCATAGATTCAACAAGGTGCTGGAAGCATTCCTCAGGGAGTTTGGTCCATATTGACATGATGGCATCACACAGTTGCCGCAGATTTGTTGGCTGCACATCCATGATGCGAATCTCCCATTCCACCACATCCCAAAGATGCTCTATTGGGTTGAGATCTGGTGACTGTGGAGGCCATTTTAGTACAGTGAACTCATTGTCATGTTCAAGAAACCAATTTGAAATGATTAGAGCTTTGTGACATGGTGGAAGTAGCCATCAGAGGATGGGTACATGGTGGCCATAAAGGGATGGACATGGTCAGAAACAATGCTCAGGTAGGCCGTGGCATTTAAACGATGCCCAATTGGCACTAAGGGGCCTAAAGTGTGCCAGGAAAACATCCCCCACACCATTACACCACCACCACCAGCCTGCACAGTGGTAACAAGGCATGATGGTTCCATGTTCTCATTCTGTTTACGCCAAATTCTGACTCTAACATCTGAATGTCTCAACAGAAATCGAGACTCATCAGACCAGGCAACATTTTTCCAGTCTTCAACTGTTCAATTTTGGTGAGCTCTTGCAAATTGTAGCCTCTTTTTCCTATTTGTAGTGGAGATGAGTGGTACCCGGTGGAGTCTTCTGCTGTTGTAGCCCATCCGCCTCAAGGTTGTGCGTGTTGTGGCTTCACAAATGCTTTGCTGCATACCTCGGTTGTAACGAGTGGTTATTTCAGTCACTGTTGCCCTTCTATCAGCTCGAACCAGTCTGGCCATTCTCCTCTGACCTCTGGCATCAACAAGGCATTTCCGCCCACAGAACTGCCGCTCACTGGATGTTTTTTCTTTTTCGGACCATTCTCTGTAAACCCTAGAGATGGTTGTGCGTGAAAATCCCAGTAGATTAGCAGTTTCTGAAATACTCAGACCAGCCCTTCTGGCACCAACAATCATGCCACGTTCAAAGTCACTCAAATCAACTTTCTTCCCCATACTGATGCTCGGTTTGAACTGCAGGAGATTGTCTTGACCATGTCTACATGCCTAAATGCACTGAGTTGCCGCCATGTGATTGGCTGCTTAGAAATTAAGTGTTAACGAGCAGTTGGACAGGTGTACCTAATAAAGTGGCCGGTGAGTGTATATATATATATATATATATATATATATATATATATATGCACCAGGCCCCACGCATGTGATTAGCGGATTAACTGCTAAGTAGAGTGAAAGTTTATCATTTGGACATGTTTTGTCTTGCCAATTTACACATCCAAACGATTTTAAACACGGAAGAGGAGAAGATCGGGACTTGCGCGCTGTTACCTGTGCGCACAGCCTCACACACACACACACACACACACACACACACACACACACGAAGCGTGCGCACAGAGAGAGAGAGAGAGAGAGAGAGAGACAGAGAGAGAGAGAGGCACGTTTCAGACAGCGATCGAGCACCGAATTGCTTTCTCTTACGCTTTTACTTGTGCTTGAACGGAGACATACACACAAAATTATGTCTCGGCAAGTATTCTCTCAGTTGTCGTAAGTGAACAGTTGAGAAAGAAACCGGATGTGTGTCAGTATGTTCGGTCCGTGCATTCAGTCTTAAAGTGACAGCAGCCTAATATTCCTGCTGTTGTCTGTGTCATTAATGTTAATAAAATAAACATCATCATTATCTACCTCATTGAGAGAAAAGAAGATAGTGAGGAGAGCAGTCAGGAGGAAAGTGATGACGACAGCGTGTAGGATAAGTGTGCCGTGTAAAGTGTGAGAACCAAGCAGCATCTCCAGGTGCTCCCTTGAGAACCAGACCAAAAACTTTATATGCACCCTTGATTATATATACATATATACATATTTCTTTGTGTGTGTGAAAATGCATTGCATGTTTCAAGCTGTTGGGCCTTTAATAATGGCCATGCATCACCTTGTTTTCCTCAGCTTTGAAGAGATCTACAAGTTTCAACGACAGATCTTGAGAGTGAAGGACAGGGATGAATTTCCCATGATTCTAGTGGGTAACAAAGCTGATCTGGAGCAACAGAGACAAGTGAGTGGCATGAATCACCTCAAGTACTGTAATTTCAGAAAGCTACACTGAATTAGTATTGATACGAACATTTTTAAACTCTTTGTCTGCACTGAAATCATAGCATGACTATTGTATCTATTGTAGAGCCTCTGTCTATATTTAGTTTGTTTTAAAATTACACATTTACATACTGTACACATACATGGAGTTCCCAGAGCACAATGTCACTGTTAAAGGGATAGTTCACCCCAAAATGAAAATTCTGTCAGTAATTACTCACCCTCATGTTGTTCCAACCCCGTAAGACTTTCGTTCATCTTCGGAACACAAATTAAGATATTTTTGATGAAATCTGAGAGCTGGATCACTCCTCCATAGACTTCTAAGGGATTGAAACTTGCCGGCCTAGAAAAGTTAAAGACATCGTTAAAATAGTCCAAGTGACTACATTGGCTCAATCTTAAGTTTATCAAGCGACGAGAATACTTTTTGTGCGCAAAAAACAAACAAAAATAACGACTTTATTCAACTATTCATTTCCTTCTCTGTGGGCCTCGAGTGAGTTCACGTAGTGTAACTGCGCAAAGCTTATGTGTTGCACGTCACACGTAGGCTCACTATTGGCCAACGCTGGTCATGTGTGTGATGTGTGTGACAGTTGCGCGCTGCGCAGTTACACTACGTGAACTCACTCGAGGCCCGCAGAGAAGGAAATGAATAGTTGAAAAAAGTCGTTTTTTTTTTTTTTTTTTTTTTTTTTTTACAAAAAGTATTCTCGTCACTTGATAAATTTAAGATTGAGCCACTGTAGTCACTCGGACTATTTTAACGATGTCTTTAATAACTTTTCTAGGCCGGCAAGTTTCAATCCCTTAGAAGCCTATGGAGGAGTGATCCAGCTCTCAGATTTAATCAAAAATATCTTAATTTGTGTTCCGAAGATGAACGAAGGTCTTACGGGGATGGAACAACATGAGGGTGAGTAATTACTGACAGAATTTTAATTTTAGGGGGGAACTATCCGTTTAAGAGGAAATTAAATGTGGATGAAATTCAGTCTTGATAACCAATGAAGAGAACTGAAAGGCTGAAAAATATCACAAAGAGCGTGTGTCTGTTAAGCAGAGAGATGGTAATAAAATATACGGGGTTACTGAGTGCATTCTGCAATTGAAAGACACTCAGATTGTGTTATACTGCCACCTCGTGTCAGAACGGAGAACGTTCTAATTAACTGCATCAATTGCCTTCATTTTATGAATGGCAACTTATATAAGAGGTACTGTTTTAATCAGTATCTTATAAGAGGTACTGTTTCAATCAATATCTTATAAGATGTACTGTTTTAATCAATATCAAGCCAAAAGCAAAAATTGTTTAAAATGGTTTTATTTTAATTGAAGAGTGTTCATTTTTCAGGTTACCCAGGAGGAGGGCCAGCAGCTTGCCCGACAACTCAAAGTCACGTACATGGAGGCCTCAGCTAAGATCCGTATGAATGTAGACCAGGCTTTCCACGAGTTGGTCCGAGTCATAAGGCGAGTCTCTCATACAATACTGTGGAACCACCAGATGGTGGCAGCACTCAAACAGCAGGCTGTGGTCGGAATAGAATACTAGCATACTGCATAATGTTTTTGGAAAAAAGTGTGTAAATCTGTACACGTTTCAAACAGTATTATGCTACAATGTTGTCACATCACCTCATTATGTTCTATATTTAATACAGCAAGCGCTGTTTAGTAATCACCTCAGAAATATATGTAGTTGTTTTATTCATTTTTGATCCAATTTTATATGTAAAAATGTCTTTCATTTTGACAGTTCGATCAGATAGTTAATAAAGATATCACTGCTGGTACTTTAATTTATGTGTCATAGTAGAAATGGAAGACCATTGGAAATGCAAATCAAGCATATTGCATTGAGGGGTAATGTCTTGCGCATACTGAGCATTATATACTTACTTGCTTACATTTGATTTTATTTCAGCTTTATTTAATTGACCAAAAATGAGTTTTAGTTTAACAATAACTAAATAAATTGAAATAAATTCCGTCAGGAGCCAAGAGTTTAAAGATTTGTACACTGAGTAAAACATGATTGTCTGATTGTTACATCCTCTCACAGGAAGTTCCAGGAGCAAGAGTGCCCACCCTCGCCGGAGCCCACGCGCAAAGAGAAGGATAAGAGCGGCTGCCATTGTGTGATTGTCTAATTGGCCTCTCACTGCCGCCACTCACCCAGCTGCTGTCACCAGTCCCTGCCCCCCACCCTGCCTTCTGACATCACGTCCTGTGCGGATGAACTCGCTGCCTTTCTACGTGTGCATGTCTTCAAAACAGCAGTGTCTCTCATAGCCTTATCAGGGGCATTTGTGCCTCTAGGACTTCACTACTAGAAGAACCAAACTGACAAAATCTTGATCGAACTCACCATTCTACCTTCAACTAGAGTACTGACATCAGTGTGACCTAGAATATGGTAATCGTGCCCCCAACACTAAACATCGCTTCTTACAAATTTGCCATAAAACACACACAATTCCTTTTTTTGTATTTTGAAGGATTTTTTTTTCTCTTGCCTTGTGACATTTGTACTTTTGCTGAGATGGAAAGACTAAACGAAACACCATTGGGATTGCAGAGGACATTTAGTCACCGATCTAGAGTGAGATGATGTTCTGAAGCTTTGTGTGTGTGTGTGTGTGTGTGTGTGTGTGTCATGCCATATCTGTTTTTACTTCCATATGCTAAGCAGCGATTGTACATAATTGAAGATTTGTGTGAGTTGAGGCCACCTTTATAACGACAAAAATCAGTTGCAGAGTACCGTGTGTGAGGTTTAACAGCTTGTTTTGACATGAATTAACACATTAATGTACTCGCAGATATGTACATAGCCTTTAACATGCCAATTTTGTCAGCAGTGAAGTCAGATTCCCAACTTCTGGTTTGATCAAGAGGCCTTTTTTCCCTGTCTTTTTTGTTTGCATTGTAAGACTTCTTGGCATGTATGGATTTGATTCTTTTAAAGGGATAATTCACCTAAAAATGAAAATTCATTTACTCACCCTCATGTGTTCCAAAGCTGTTACAAACCACATTTTTTTTGTCCATACAGTGAATAGAGAATTTCCATATTTTCTGACCTGAAAAGTATAACCCACTTGAATTGCGTGAAACTTTACGGTTTTCTGCCTACTAAAAGATCTATGGTTTAATGTTAGAAAGCAAAGAAATTAAGCCATAAATATTAGAAGTTTAATTTTACCGTTGTTCTTTAAAATACAATTATTATTATTATAAAATATTAATAATATTAAATACAATAGTAATATATTTCTTTATTAGTTAATTTTTTATAATGAAAAAATAATAAATGAAAATATTTTGAATAACAGTAATTATTATTATACAGTCATGTTGAATGGGGGATAAAACTATTTCTCTTCCTTTTTGTCCTTAGCTGAGTGATTACATGCCGGATTGAAAGTCAATGTTGTTTTAGGCCAGAAACAGATTCGGAACGACATGGGAATTTTCATCTTTGGTTGAACTATCTATATTGTGAAATGTATTCTTCATGTAGCCAGATTGTTGAAGCCTTCCTGACTCTCAGCTCTGATTTCTACAGACTATCTTCAGACTCAGGTTGCTCCATTTACAGTGTTTTCACAATGTGCTGACGATGTCCGCTCGCTCAGAGCACAATAGGTTTTCTGTTCTCTACTAGGTACCCCACCAAGATCGATGACTCTGAGAAGTTGTCTCTAAAATAATTGTCTTTCTCTGACCTTGCATTTCAATTCACTTTTACACTGTTTTTTTTTTTTTTTTTTTTTTTTTAGTTTGGAAATGTATTTAAGTGACTGAAACAGTGTGAAGACTGTTTCAAAGGGACAGTTGAACTGCTGACATAACAGGCATCTTTTCATGTATATGATCAGAGAAAATCTTTTTTTTTTAAATATCATACATCAGACATCCACATTCCCTCAAGACTATTTTTTTTTATTTAATATGGTTTGACGTCTCACACTTAAATCTGGTAGTTCTCATCTGACAGGTGATCATTTTTTTTCCTGCCTTCATACTCCAAAGGTTCATATCACTATTGCATCATGTCACGTTTTATTTTCCAGAGTGCATTTCTGTATGAGGGATACAAACTGTTTTAGTTTTTGTGTTTTATCATCATGTAATATAAGAAAAAAAAGATGGAAGTGATCTTCTGAATGGACATGATTAAATGTTTTTACTATATACTTTTATACATTATTTTCTTATCAGACTAGTTAATGAGTATTTTTATATGTTTGTAAGTGAAAACGCTCTCGCGGCACAAATGTGTATATGTGAAGAGGAGTATTTAATTATATCTCGCTTTTGTTTTTAACTGAAAAAAGGCCAATGTATGTTGAACTGTGGTCCTTTCCTGCTTTCGGTGGACTGAAGCCGATAACTCACGCAAATAGTCGTCCACCTCATAGCCTAAAACGCTTCACCAGTGATCACTGGGTCAACCCTTTTTTGATGACTCGGGTTCATCTCCTTCCCAAAACCTTGTCCATTACCAGATACCAGTTATCATCAAAACAGATCAAGATGAAAGCTAGTAGGAACAGAAGTGCATGACTCTTCCTCTTCCCAGAGTCTGTGTACATCTAATCCATACTGTGTTTTATTTGTCACATCTTTCCCTCCCCCTGTATAGCCTCTGGTGCTATAATAAAATCTATGATTTATCTGTGATATATTATTTTTGCTTTTCCTTACTGAGGAACGACGGTACGTGTTGCACAAAATTATAGCTCTCGTTCTTTAAATCGACATTGAATAACAAGCGCCACCATGCGACAAGTAGATTGTTATTTTGTTGTCCTTAAGCATGTCCCCTGTGATTTACAAAACTTGTGTGCTTTTCTTGGGCAGTGTTCCGGTAATGAGCTGTATGACAACTTATGTCACAAGCTTGTTTTGATTGTTTTTGAATCTGCTGTGTATTCTTCCGTGAGATCTAAAAGTGTTAGGTAACATTGTGATGGACGAGGGTATCTTATTATCATCTTAATGAATTAAGAGGATTGGCTTCAGAAAAGCTATTGCTCTGCTCATGTCATGACAGTTATACAACTAAAGTAATGGAATTGAATCAATGCAGTGACAGCCATATGGCTTACAGTTTTATATGAGATGTTTACTATCGATTGTAAATGAGAATGTACAGTCACTATTAACGCTCACTTAGACAGGCCTTGAATGGCAAGGGCTGAGGTTCCCAAAAGCGTAGAGGCGTTTGGTGCCAGTAGTTCTATGTTCTATGATCTACTTGGGCTGCAATGATTTTTGGATGGTTTCGCTTCTAGTGAAGCTTATGATGATGCCACCCTACACTCTTAGGGGGAAAAAAGGCTCATTGGGGTTCTACATATATTCCAAGGGTTCTTGACTCAGTTTTATTGTAACCCTTTATGCCCAAAAGGTTCTATATAAGGATGTTTTTCCTCGTGATAAAGTCTGTTTACAAGCTGTTTAATTCATAAAATGTAATCAAAATAATAGGTGAATTAAAACTACATCTATAAACTGATCCATGATGAGAACCTCTAAAATGGTTAATATATGAAGCGCCTGTCCTTTAAGGTTCTATATAGAACCTTTTCATCCAAGAGTGTGTTACTGAACAGCATTACATTAACATTACAGTATGTACAGACTTTACAGAACTGAAGTCATGCAGTTACTATAATGTCGTCAATTGGTTTGGTCTGTTTCAGTCGAATGAATTTTCTCATACTCCTTTTAACAAGTGACATAAAGACTTTCATTTTCAGAGGCTTGGAGAACAAACACATTCTGAGCATTAACACCTTGACAAAATGGGAAAACACAGACTGTCTGATTTACTCAATCATATTTGTGATATCCACAACAGAATTCTTGATTTTTTTGCTTTTGATTAATGTAATTCTCTAAAATGTGCAATCTACTGGATTCAATTATGTAGGATGAATGTGAAGTAATCAAGTACGCAAAAAATATTTTTTTGCTTTTGACATTTCTGAATTTGCTGTTCCCAGCATGTTCCCAGAAAATTATTTCATGTGAAATGGGGGAGACTTGATGTTTAATGTTTAATTAGTTGTGATTTAGTATTTCATTTACACTGGTTACCACTGAAGCTTTTTCCAAGGAATATTTGTGTAAGGAATAATTGACGACAGGCCGTTTAATTATTAGAAAATAAAACACACCGAGGTGGTTAGAGAGCGGGAGACAGAGTATGCTTTCCGTACATAATAAAAGGTAATTTTGTGGCAAAAAAACATGGAAATAATTTGTTGTTTACTATATTTATTTGCTTGGTCAGTGTCGTTGTGGGTTTTGGTTCTTTTGCTGTTGTATGCTGTAAGGACCTTTGAAATAACAAATCATTTGGCGAAGTGATATGGAACTGTAATGCGGTCAAGACCTGCCTGGAACTATACTTTAGCCGTGCGTTTCCCTGAAAATAATTACAAACCTTAGAATGTTTGTCAACCAATCAGATTCAAGCATTCAACAGCCCTGCAGTATAATATCTTATAATTCAGTGATGAGACAAAATATATCAAATTGATTGAATAAATGAATCCTGTCAGGGAACCATATAAAATCATTTTGAGACTGTTTATTGGGTCTATTAAACTATTTAATTCTAAGATTTGAAGTTATTTGAACAAATTATGTTTGTGTTTTTGATTGATTCACATGTAACAAATGTACATGATGAAATCATGACACTTTTTTCAGTGCAGGAAGACTTTAAATGCTCTTAATGCATAAAATGTTTAACCTCATAATGACAAACGTGAAAGTCTTCAAAAAGGGATTTGCATAAATGTATTCTCTGGGTTGTATTTTTGTTGTGCCATTTGCAGTGTGTGGGTGAGTGCTGTGTATACTTGTCAGCATCACCATGGGTGACAACAACACACATTGACATGGATAAGTGGGCTTTAATAATCACAAACACCTCTTGGCAATGAAGGCTTATTTAAGGAATATGAAAATGAGCATCGGTGTGCCAATCAGGTAAGCAATTTGTCTGGTCTGGAATGGCAGCTTAAAACACTTTCCTGTCACCCTGATTAAGTATTCAACAAACGTGTTGATGTTCTTACGGGGTCCGAATGTGCCTTAGACGGTCTAGACCCTATTAGAACTGTTGTTTGGGAGACTGCTTTGTGTTCTTTGAGCACATCTGAGTCATGAATGGGCGGATTGACAGCTTTATTGTCACTGGCCTTGCAAATATATGTTTGAAGCTCGGCTTACCTTGTAGTGCATGTATGGAAAACCAGAGATTTGAGTTTCACCCTGGTGATAGCGACCTTATTTAGAAATCAAATCTGGCTGAGTATACAGTATAAAGAGTCGTTGGAAAATTGGGACCTATGAACCATCGGGTCTCATAACTTACCCTTTCCTATAAATCTTCCAGTTTTTTTTATTCTGTGACCTTTCACACCATTTAGTTTATCAAGTGTGGTTATTTAGTCTCGCTGATGCATAACTAGATCATTTCCTGATGGCAAAAGTCAGATTTGTGTGTTTTGATGAATAAATTATCCAGTCCATTGTGAATAGCAACATTTTTAAAGCCTGCAAATGGCTACATTAAAATAATGACTGCTCTTTACATGCAAACTGTGACCTCCTCATCATGGTGAAAGATACTAACAACCAAACTAGCATGTTAAATCAAATGAAAGATTTTTTTTAAATCAACTCTATAAGATGTCTTAATTTTTATTCTAATTTTCTAAGGATAATTTCAGTTGCTACCTATACCTTTTCGGATTTTATTTTCAAATAAACGTTTTAAAATCTTGCATTGACTTACATTGATAGAATGTTAAGGGCTTTTGTGAATAAAATTTCTAAATTCAATCTGTTCATCATATAAAGGGATCTTGTCTCTTCAGAACATTTTGGACTAAACTGCTCAATTCATATGGATTAGTTTTGCGATCTCTTTATGAATTTTTTTAAGTGTCAAAGTAGAAGTTGCGTAGCTGTCTATGGAGAGTACAGAAAGCTCTCAGATTTAATCAAAAAGATCTTCATTTGTGTTCCGA